ATATCTCCTTCTACTACCTTCCCCCAGCCTTTGCCTCCCACCCACTCCACCTTCCTCTGTAGATATTCTCTCCAACTCCCACCTTCCTTCCCTGAAATCTGATGCAGCTGTCATAAGTTTCCACCCACTACATGGGGATTGCATTAGTCACTTCGTGGGGCTATTGATTATGGTCCATGCACCTTTCTCTCTCTGTCCCTTGCTTCGTGGCCTCCCCTTCATCCACAGTGTGTCTTCCTTAACTGGCCACAGCGTTAAAGCCAATTATATGTTTTTGGCTTTTTGTAGAATCTATTTAAAGGAATTTTATAATCACTGATCTGAATCTTAAAGCCAATTCAGGTGACTCTTTTATATTTTTCTCTTAAAAATACGAATTCAACATCACCTTTAGGTGGCCCAGGATTGACTTCCCCCCCATGGATCACAAGGACCTTGATAAGTAGAGTCCTTAATTTCTGAAGCTATGATATTACTTGGCTTTTCCATTTTATCAAAGTATTTTTTTAATTACCAAAAGGCATAACTAAGGTGCACTGAAAGATGATTTAAAATTGTTTATTCCAAAAATAGGCCATATGCTAGTTTTCATTCAACTAATCGAAGCATGTTTATTCCAGCGACTAACAAGCTTTCTGATTCCATCAGCAAGAAAATGATGTTTAACAGTGAGGCCACCTCCGCGTTTGTTATATTTCGCATATGAACTCGCACCCCCCGAGGACAGCTTTTCACGGCCCAAACAGCTATGGAGAGCACTAGGGGGAATAATGTATGGCAGCTGTTCCAGAGCTGTCCACACAGGCTTCGCGACTTTCGCTTCGTTTAACTTGACCTGACAATAAATAACAAAAGCCCCTCTGCTTTTCTGGAAGAAGCATGGCCATTTCTAAATCAACAGCAGCAGCTGTACTGGCCTCCCCTCCCAGGTGGGATCATCAGCACTGCCTTTGTGGATCTGCAGTGGTGAAGCCCTCCTCCGGGGGACGCAACACCACCCCTCCGCAGACTGATGGGTGAGAAAGGGGAGGCGGGGAGTACTAGGACGTGAGATGGGAAAGGCTGTTGGTCCAGGCGCTGAGCTAAAGGATTGGACTCTATTCTTGGAGACAGCCACTTGGAAAAGTTTCCATCTAAGGAAGAAAATGCCAACATTGCAATGAGTGTACATGTGGCCCCGCTTCAGCTGAGTCCTCATGGTTTTAGGAAACCAAGTGGCTTTCCTTGAACCCCCTATTTCCAGGACCTTAAGAAACCATAAGCCCCCCTCCCCAAGATTTCTATAACTGCTGACACTTATGTGCTCATGGTCTAGCCCCTACTTCACATATGTGGTCTTTGCTCCATTTCTGTGTCACCCAGGGAGCAAAGCTCAATTCCTCGCAATTTCCACAATCCGATTTCCACAGGAAGTCCATGCCCGTTGAGCATTGTACACGTTATTATAAATCTACTGAATATATAGGAGGTGAGGAGGGGGTCACATGACACCTTCATTCCCCTTCAACGCTTCCGCTGGTTCCACAATGCTCCCAACCTTCCTCTTCCATCTCCTGGGTCCCTCTCAAGAACTCACAGATCTCTCTCCTTTGACATGCAGGACAGTGTCCCCGTATCCCGGATGCCACTCATCCCCACTGCTCTCCCAAGCTAGCTGATAGGAATTTTCACAACAAGGACAGTCCTTTGGGTATTATCCTAAAGAGAAACTTTCATAAGGGCTACTAAGTGGAGAAATAAACCCTTCACTTACCCATCTTGTTTTGAGTGACCTCCCCCACACTGCCTACTAATTACAGCTCACGTTTATTGAGGACTCACTAGTTACAGATCCCTGTGTTAAGTAGACACATCAAGATTCACAGCCACTCATAACTTAACCTGGAGAAGCTAAAATATTTGGCCGTCACTCAGCTAGAAAGTGACAGAGCTGGGATTTGAACCCAGGGCCCCGCAAACAGGAGCCCTGCTACCTTTTGCTCCACTACATACACAGGCCAAAATGAGGCAACCAGTGGATATCAGAACAGTCTTGAGCTAAACCATAGAGGACATTTCTTGTGGATGAGAATCATTTCTGAGCCCCAAAGGGTCACTGGGAACAGAACACTTGGCTTCCCTGCTTCCTTCTCCCATTTCCCACGGCTAGATTATGTGCGACATCCTGGACGGTGGGGACCCTGACGATCCTTGGCAGCTCAAATACTGCATCTGTGCGCACATCACTCTGCTGAATGTCACCCACGCAGTTGCTGATGTGGTCTTCCGAATTAGGGAACTCGAGTGAAAGGATTTAGGGTTAGGAGAAGCCTGCAAGCTTCCCCAGCCCTCTGGGTATTAGGGGAGAGTGACCTGGAAAATCAAATGCAAGGAAGTGTCCCCAAATACAGGAGTCTTGTTTGAGGCATAGTAGAACCTATTAGCTTGAGAAATTGGTCTGGAAACCTTATAAAAGAGACAAATCATTCCACATTCTCTCCAGACTGAAAATATTGGGGATAATCGACTTTCCGTGATGCCTCGGACACATGTACCTCATGTCAGGATCACAGCCAACCTCTGGCAAGGCTAAATTCAATGCAGGTGATAAAAGGCAATTATTTTTTGTAAATGGGCAGTGCTGATTAGTTCTGATTTCTCTGGCCAGCCACAGACTTATTTGTACCAGTCCCTCATTACTGTGAAGGGTGCTAGGCAGAAGAGCCAATGGCAAAGAGAAATGAAGTTCAAACTGTGGATTTGTCATACTGCATAGCTCAGCAGATGATTGTCCAGCCACGGAGGCCCCTGTGACCAGCCCTCCCCCTCACCCTACACACACACACACGCGCGTGTGCACGCACACACATATCTCCTTTCTCAATATGCCCAATTAACCCCCGATGGAGATGCCTGGGAAAGCAAGGCATCATTGCATCATGAAACTTAACCTTGCTTGTCTTTGCTATTTAAGAAGGGTGAGAAGAAGAAGAATCCTTCACATTTATATGTTAGCTATTAAAATTATTGTTGTTATTCTTGTTGAGCACTGATAGGTTCTATAATAATATGAATCACTGGCATTGACTGGGTGCTTATTCCATGCCTGGCACTATGCTAAGGGCTTTCTTCACATGCAGTGTCTCCTTTATCCTTAGAACAACTCTACAGGACAAGGGTTGGCGGACTTTCTTTGTAAAGGACCAGATAGGAGATATTTTAGGTTGTGTAGGCTATGTGGTCTCTGTCTCAACTACTCAAATCCACCTTTGGAGCTTAAAAGCAACCACAGACAATACATAAATGAATAAGCATAGCTGTACACAATAAAGCTTTATTTACACAATCAGGCGGCTGGCCAGGTTTGGCTGTGGCCCCTAGCGTGAACAATGTTGTCCCTCAGCTGGAACTTGCGTTCCACAGCTAGGAAGGTGGTAGACATGTGCTTTTCTCTCTCCTACATGCCCCCTCCTCTCTGCTCTTCCCTTTTGGTGGAGGGAGGATAGAATAAAAGGCGTTTTCGCATGTGACTGCCCAGAGTGAGTTGGCTGTTCTCTCAACAAAAAGGTGAGCCATCCTTTTCATGAAAATCCTGCATCCGCAGTGGCTGTGAGGAGGTCACTGGATTTCTGTGGGTTACCTCTGTCAGTCTAGGTCCTTGTCTGAAACTTGGTGTAGGCTGTGGCAGACCCCACTGATGAGAGACTCCATCCCAAGCTGCTCTCAGAAGCCCTGGTGGGTCTTCGTGAGTCTCAGCTATGTCTTCCGGGCAACCCCCAGATGAAGGGGCTTTCTAACACTTGGCCTCTTTGTCCACCCTGGGGTGCTCCCCAGCAAGCCTGCAGCTCCAGTCCAAGCTCTCCTCTCTGCCCCAACTCTGGGGCTTGTAAACCTGGACAGAGTCCATCCCCACGCCCCTTGGGAACCAAGAATTAGAGGAAGCATGCTTTGCACCTCTCTGAGCCACAACCACTGCTACCTATCTCAATATTCTTTTACCAACTAAAATCTCTAGTGGCTCAACAGATACAGGGGAATAAATTATCTGTCTCTCCTTCTTGATGACACTATAAATTTAAGAAACAATTTATGATCTTAGACCAGGGTTTCTCAGTGTCTGCACTATTGATATTTGGGGCCAGATTATTCTCGGGGGAGTACTCATGTGCATTGTAGGATGTTTAGCAGCATCCTGGCCTCTACCCACTAGATGCCCATTGCAACCAGCAAGAGTGACAATCAGAAATGTCTACAGACATTGCCAAATGTCCCCTGGGTGACAAAACACCCTCTGGCTGAGAACCATTGTCTCAGGTTGAGGGGCAACCATTGCCATTTGCTCTCAGCTGTGGGTTCTACGTCCTAATTCCAGAAAAATAGGAAAGATCACAGACAACATTTCTCCATATTATGTTACTTTATCTTTTGGTGCAGGGTCAGCATAATTATCCCCATTTTACATATGAGAAAACCGAGCTGGGTCACACAGCTAATAGGCACCAGAGCCTGGATTTGGACTCAAGCCTATCTGATGCCAAAGCCTATATGTTTTTTTAAAACTACTCGTGATCTGATGATGAAATGAACACTGTGAAGGTTTTCCTAGAATGGGGAAAACTTTGCTGTGATTCGTGTTGAACTAGAGATTGTACCTGCCCTTCCCTCAGTGTTCTTTGTAATCCTGACAGCAGTGCTTCAAGGTATATATTATTCTCCCCATTTTACAGATGAGGAAACTGAGGCACCGCAAACATAACAAATGGTTTGAAATCAGCTTAGCAAAGGTTTTTAAGCCCAGTGTTTCAATGTTCAGAGCTTTGACGTTTCAACAACCATGAAAAGATGTGGCTGCTCCCCAATGCGGACACTGAGTCTAATTTTCTACGTAATACCCTACCTTTGTAGCCAATGTGTCCTGCAGGCCATAAGAAAGGCTCAGCGATAAATGAGACCAACCCCCACCCACCCACCCCGACCCCCCCGTCCATGGCCTCTTTCTGTGACCTCTTTCCATGCCGCAGCTCTGTATGCAGTACTGGCCTGAGAAGACCTCTGGGTGCTACGGGCCCATCCAGGTGGAGTTCGTCTCCGCGGACATCGACGAGGACATCATCCACAGAATATTCCGCATCTGTAACATGGCTCGGGTAAGTGCACAGGTGCCATTGCTTCCCATGCCCCTCCTCCCCAAAACAGATGGAGGCTGCTGGGAGAGGATCCCGTCCGCCAGCAGAGAGCCTGTGCTCTGCTCTCCTGATAATCTCGTCCTTGCGGAAGTGATGCCCCTGGCGATTCCGGCTCCAGACCCAGCAATGGCTCCAACACGCAGAGACGCACAGGGCGACATCCAGCCTGCCATCTGCCTGTTTCCTGACACACTTGCTGCCGTGTAGACAAAACTTCTCAGAAATTAGTGCTTCCGCACTGTGTCCCACTGTTTTGGCATGAATTGATTTGCCAATTTTGCCACTCAGACTTTGAGTGGATCCAGTAAGCTTTGGGCTAGACCCTGGGAACACCCAGATGAAAAACATTCAGTTGCTTCCGTGAGGAAATTCACCAGCTGGGTGGAAGAGTACTGGGTGGGAGAAGGGAGAAGATTAGTAATCTGTGAAATGGTGGCTAACGAATGCGACTTTGGTCTTTATTGGGGGCCCAGTGTGAACAGAACTCAGGCCCAGTGTGAACAGAATTCAGTCCTTGCCCTCACAGTTCACTATCTAATGGGAAAGTGAGATCTGTTCCTGCACACGAATCTCAGGGAGAGAGATGAATTCTTCTCGGTAGAGTCAGGGAAGGCTTTTCCTAGAGAAAGGGACATTTGAATTGGGTTTTGAAGACTGAGTAGGAGTTTTCCAGGTAAAGAGGGGTGCAGGGCTGTCATGACAGGAGAATAAGTGTGCACAAGGGTGTAGGGATGAGTAAGAGGATAGTCTGTGACTCTTCCCATGATGACATAGTGTAGACCCCATTTAGTCCATCTCCCACTACAATGCTGCAGCCCCCAGTGTATCTGGAGGGCTTGCATCCCTAAGCATCCCCAGCAGAACAGCCCTAACAACCTCTCTGTTCTTAGCCACAGGATGGGTATCGTATAGTCCAGCACCTCCAGTACATTGGCTGGCCCGCCTACCGGGACACGCCCCCCTCCAAGCGCTCTCTGCTCAAGGTTGTCCGACGGCTGGAGAAGTGGCAGGAGCAGTACGATGGGAGGGAGGGACGCACTGTGGTCCACTGCCTGTGAGTACCATGGAGGGGTCTCCAGGGCAACAGGGTGGGGGGTAATAGGACATCCTTGAGGATGCTGCTGCCGCAAACACCAGTCCTAGCCATGCCTGGCTATACCACATCTCAACATCCACTAAAGGTCGATGGGAGTGTATTCAAGGAATTACAATCCTTTAATGGACTGGGGTTGCCCATTTGTTGCCCTGAACTAATGTTATATAACACATTATTTGATGCAAATAATGCAAACCTGGTGGCCTTGCCACAAACATAGGGGGTGGGCAGATTGCTCCCCAGTGCTCCCAATAGGGAGATAAGCCCCACTCTCCAAACCAGAGGCATGGTGTGTCCTGCTAGTCATAAGAAGCTCAGGATGAAGTGGGTTCCACTGAGTAGATCCTCTTCTATTATTTCCTAAAGAAGGAAAAGAAGAAAGGGGAAGGCATTGATTAAGTGAGCTTAATGCCAGACATTTTAAATGAATCACCTCAGTCCATCTGTGAAGTAGATATTATCGTGTTATAGTGAGAAAACCGAGACACAGACAGGGTAAGGGATCAGGCAGTTAAGAGAGGAGCTTTGGGGCCAGCCCCGTGGCTTAGCGGTTAAGTGCGCGCGCTCCGCTGCTGGCGGCCCGGGTTCAGATCCCGGACGCGCACCGACGCACCGCTTCTCCGGCCATGCTGAGGCCGCGTCCCACATGCAGCAACTAGAAGGATGTGCAGCTATGACAGACAACTATCTACTGGGGCTTTGGGGGGAAAATAAATAAATAAAATCTTTTAAAAAAAAAAAAAGAGAGGAGCTTTGATTTGAATCTACTGGGCTCCAAGCTAATGTGCTATCCATTAACCCACACTGCCTCTGAGTAAACCAAAGGACTCATCCACCACCTCTGCCTGCTGGGACATCCCTGCTCTGGGCATAGTGGGAACACAGGGGCACAGAGAGCATGAGGGGGAGCACTGCCCTCAGGTGCTGACCAATGGATGCGAAGGGCCCTGGGAACACTGTCTCCATTACTGGGTGAACTTGAACCTTTACCTCCTGTCTTAGAATGGGCATAGTGGGGGCACAAAGATTCCCAGTCAAAGAGACCCTGATGTCATAACGTGGGGTGCATGTCAGGACCCTTAGAGGACTGTCATCTAGAAGAAAAAAGCTGTCATTAAGAAAATCAGTGAATTTTGCGAGCCTCTGCTTCCTCATCTGTCCAATGGGTATGTTGATTTAGGTCAACTTAAGATCCTATGGAGCTTCGGCATGAAATATTTAGAAAACAAACACAATTTATCTACTAACATAGAGATCCACAATATCATGGTAGCAACAATGCAAATGTTGTAAATGTAATTACTTCAAAGAGCATGTGTCCGAGTCTCAGAATTGAGTTCAGTCTTTTCAAAACCAGCTTATTTGGGGGCTAGCCCGGTGGTGCAGCAGCTAAGTGCACACGCTCTGCTTCAGCGAATCGGGGTTCACAGGTTCGGGTCCCGGGCACGCACCAATGCACCGCTTGTCAAGCCATGCTGTGGCAGCGTCCCATATAAAGTAGAAGATGGGCATGGATGTTAGCCCAGGGCCAGTCTTCCTCGGCAAAAAGAGGAGGATTGGCATCAGATGTTACCTCAGGGCTATCTTCCTCAATAAATAAATAAATAAATAAATAAATAAATAAATAAATAAACAGCTTATTGTTCCCTCTGTTTCAAATAGGCGGTGCACACACATGTCAGGAAAGTTGGAGAGCTTAAAGGGAAGTTAAACACACACACACACACACACACTCACACGCACACACACACACACGCACAGCTTAAGGGCCACCATCTGTAGCAACCCCCCTCCCCAAAGGACGCACACCGCAGACTGGAGTCCAGGAAGATGCTATGAGGTGTCGCATGTCACAGTGGGTGACATCGCCCAGCCAAGCTGGCTCTGCCCACATCCCAGAAACAGGCAGCTGGTTCCTTGCCGACTAACCCCTGCTCCCTCCAGTTCCCTCTGCCACACTCAGGTGGCCCCACCTTTAGCACAGAGCCACGCCTATCCTGTCAGGGTCTCACTCCACTGGGCCCTGAGATGCCTGTGTCCACTCACCTCTTCCTCTTGGATTCTGCTGTTCTTGGTTCAGAAAATACTGAACCCTCCTTCTGGGGTTTCCCTTCCTACACTTTCCCATGGGATTGTTTTTTAGCCTGCTTTTTGCAGGAATACGTTTTTATCCATGTCTTCCCTAGCCAAGGCGACAAGCAGTTTGAACTGAAAGAAAGCACAGGTCAACAGGGACCTTGGAATCTTTGAGGGCCAGAGATACCAAAACAGACTCTGAAATGCAGGCACTGGCCAGTGAATGGAGGGCAACTGTCTGTACTTGAAACATCTGGTTGTTGGGTGTCCTGTAGATAAAACATCTAGGAGATTGACTGAGTGCCTTAGTTTCCATCCAGATATTCTTAAGACACAGACCATTACATGAAATCATTAGTTGCTCTTGGCAACACGCCCAGGAGTTCCGAATCTGGCAGATTCCTAAAGGGACTTTCTGTAAAGAGTTGGAGGGATGTTTCCACGAAGATGACTTATGGAGCATCAGAAAGAAGGAGTGACAGAGGGATGACCCTGCCAAGAGCCCTCTATCTCTATTCTCCAGATCAGTAGCGTCTTGCTTAAACCAGGGTATACAAATAGATACCTATCATTTCACAGTACAGCGTCTCAGACCCACCCCAGGCTCCTCTTAAAACCTAGGCTGGCTGACCCTATGCTAGCAGAGAGGTCTCTGGTATTGCTGTCCTTAGTGGATAGAAAGAACTAGGAGGAAAATCACATGCCACGGTCCGTTGTCTTCTTTGGATGTGTAAGTGGAGCCAGAGCATCCTTTTGGACAAGGATGCAGGCACCACACATACGAAGACACACTATGTGTCTGCCCTGGGGGTTTGGGTCAGTGTGCCATGCCTAACTGTAACATGCTCATAGAACCAAGGAAACATCAAGCTACTTGAATTCTCAAAAGTCGTCTAATTTAACCACTTCATTGTATGAATGGAGAATCTGGGGCACAGACACAGGAAGTGACTTGCCCAAGGTCAAAGCAGGTTCATGACACAGATGGAACTCAAGCCAAACTCATAGCTCAGACTCACACTTTCACCACTGCCTTACCTTGCATTTGCCAGGGCAGCCACTCCCCACTACTGCTGATGTGGCTTTAGGCTCAGCAGGTGCCTAAGGGGTACCCGGGAATCGGGCTCACCTCTTTACTCTGTGTTTAGAAATGGGGGAGGCCGCAGTGGAACCTTCTGTGCCATCTGCAGCGTGTGTGAGATGATCCAGCAGCAAAACATCATTGACGTGTTCCACATCGTGAAAACATTGCGCAACAACAAGTCCAACATGGTGGAGACCCTGGTGAGTGTCCCAAGAACTGTTCTCCAATACCCGGGGGCTGACCATGGTTCCCTTGACCTGAGGAAAATAGCATCAAATAGTAAAAACACTCAACAGCCAGGTGCTCATTGAGTACCTACAGTCTACGCCCTTTGCACGCACTGTTATCTGCTCTGCTTCCCTGCCTTCCAACCTCACCAACTTCTCTTTTCTGCAGGGCAGTCCACGTGTTATCCTAGTACACTCTACTTTGTTTTAGTTTTTCTTCATTCCTTAAGAAAGTATCCCTAATTCAGGCTTAGGGGAAGGGATTCTTGATTCGCAGAGTGTGAATTATGTTTTCAATTCAATCCAATCCTATTCTAATTAATTTATGCTAATTTTTATGATATAAAGCATTAAGCTAGGACACTGTGGAGAAAGGGATGGAAAGAAAGTGGGCAGGCAGAGCCCCGGAGGATAAGACCTGGGACAGTGATGGAGACGAACCATACACAAGGAACTTTAATATGTGTTTTTAACCTACTTTTAGCGTGGACTGACTCAGAGTTAGGTCCTACTCAAAGTCTCGTCCGCAGACCAGCAGCATCAGCATCGCATGAGAGCTTTGTAGAAATGCAGAATCTTGAGCTCCACTCTAGATTTACTGATTCAGAATCTGTGTGGAGAATTTTGAGTTGACTGTTAGATGTAGATAAAATTTTCTCCAAAATCTGTGTCTCTGAACTAAATGCATTTTCCCTTCCTTTTCATCTCTCTCATCTCCTCTTCTCCCTCTCTACCTCTCCTCCTCTCAGGAACAGTATAAATTTGTATACGAGGTGGCACTGGAATATTTAAGCTCCTTTTAGCCCAATGGGTTGGGGAACCTGCCGGAGTCCAGAACCTGCTGCAGCCAAGCCCCCTTTTCTGTGAGTGGCAGTGACTGGGCTCAGGGACCAAGAGGTGGCACCCTGCCCGACTCCAAGGAGAAGACTGGCGGTCCTGTGTTGCACGGTGGGCTCTGCACCTTCTGGGGCGTCTCCTGCAGCTGTGGGAGATGCTGTTCTTAAAGGCCCAGGTTTTGCTTCCACATCCAACCAGCCACAGCCACTGCCCACGCAGAAGTGCACCCACAGCAAGGCCCCGGATTTTTCGGTTCCCCGACCTCTTGTTTTTGCTCTTTTCACATGTGTGAATTTCATGGCAAGCTGACTGTGCAGTGCTGGGGAGTGGCAGGCTCAGCAGCACCTCCCTGCCCTGCGTGTCCTTGAGAGTGGAGGGGCTGTGTGTTCTCCTCCGTGCTGTCACGGAGATGATTGAGTTCTTGAGGTCCCTGCTCTGCTGCCCCCTGCAATCTCCTTCAGGGGCCTCTGGCACCGGACACCTGCCAGTCTGGATCAGTGTGACCTCAGGATGCTCCCGAGACCAGAGCAGAGGCCCCCGTCCTCACACCTACCCTGCATGGGGCTTGGCCCACTACCGTTCTCTTCCCCTCCCCCAGCCTGGGCCTTGACCTGCTGTCATTCACTGGCCAGCCCGCTGTGTCCACACCACAGCACCCTTTGATAAAGGTTTTCTTCGCTTTTCTGTGGTCAGTGGGAGGGGGTGGGACTGCAGGGAACTTGGCTGCTCCTCCTTGTCTTTGTGAAAAGGGACCGCCTCCCCGGGGGCAAGTGGTGGTGGTGGCTCCTTTGGGAGGGATGAACAAGATAAGAGTTGATTATTTTCCAAAATGTGTGTGAAAAGAAACTTTCTTTTGGGGAGTGTAAGATCTTAGTCTCTTATGTCAAAAAAAAAAAAGGGTGGGGAGGGAAATTCGGATGTATCTATAAGACAAATCTCTTTCCTGGCAATGTCCTTAAAAGTTCCCACCCTGGGAGAGCACAGCCCTTGAGCAAGGGAGAGACAGGCTAGTCTGAAGACAGTCCCGTGGAGGTCCCTTTGGTTTCTAGGGCAGATAGAGTACCGGCTTTGTGCATAATCTCGGATCTCCAAATTTCAACTCCTTCCTAGAGATCCCACCTGCCATCTTGAAAAAGACCATTGTGGACCCAGTCATGCTTTGGTTTAAAATAGGCCAAGGGGATCAGGGGATCTAGGGTCTTGCCCAAAGAATGGGTGAGTCAATGAAAGGGAACCAACATTTGCTAAGCACCTACTGTATGCCAGGCTTGGCACATTCCATATGACATCTTATGCAATCTTAGAACCCCCAAGAGTGAGCTATTGACCTGTTATCTCCACTTTACAATTGAGGAAACTGAGGGATTCTCTGCAGTGATGAAATTCTAGGTTCCAAACAGGCAGATAAACGTGATGAGACTTATTCGTACTGTTTTCTTCATCCTTCCTCAGCCAAGCAATTATTTTATGGAGACAAAATAAGGCCAGAAACTTCTGAGCAGAGAACTCCACAATGGAAATTTAATTCTTTGTTTCTGATGCCAGGTCTTCTGGGCAGCCCAGAATTTCAGATATATTATATTAACCATTCTCAGCTCCCCAGGAAAGCTAGTCTCATTTAATTTCTTAGCCAGTGAAAACAATTCTCTATTCCCTGAGGCTTTGGCATCTGCCAACCAGGAACACTCTCTCTGCCTTGGTCTCTAGCCAGTTCAATATCTGGCAGCCTCAGGTGGCCTGGGATAGAGGAAGCTCCTTCTTGGAGGATGATCTAGCTCCAGACAGGGCATGGGGAGCTCAGAATTCAATAAGGCACAGTTTTGCCCTCAAGAGCTCACCGTATACTGGGGAAATTGAACCACAGTGCAGCGTGCGAGTGTTATAGAGCCGAGAAGCAAGAGAGATTCTGCCTAGGGCTTTCTAGAGAAAGTGACATCCGTTCCAGCTGGGTCTGAACAGGTAGAAAAAGGAAGAAAAAGAAATTCAGGCCAAGGAATCAGTGTGGCAATAGCAAAGAGGTGTGAAAAATCACTGGGTGGGTGGGTAATATGGTGGGAGGTCAGCTCAGCTGGAGCATAGCATGGGAGAAGGTGTGGCAGGAGATGAGCCAGAGTCAGGGAGAGGAATGCTCCACCAAGAGTGCAGACTCTGCCCCTGTGGGCAACAAGGAGCCAGCGGAGTCTTTGAGCGATACCCTCAGCTCAGTGTTGGAGAAGGCTCCCTCTGGGGAGGGAACTGCCTCTTTTCCTTTCATCAGACACTGTGAAAACATTCCCTTAAGTGTTTACTTTTTAATATCACATCTATTTTTCTGTCTGCTCATTATTTTGTTGCTGGAACAAAATATGCAGTGGATCATGAGACGCAGCTTCTGTGAGAAACTCTGGCTCTCTGCTCTACCACAGAGCAGGGTGACCAACCCAGGCCTCCTGGCCCACAAGGAAAAGACACGAAAGGAACCCATAGAAGCTACTCCCATTGGCACAGGCTCTGGAGCTGTCTGGAAGTCTAGGGACACAGACTTGATCAAGGAAGGGCTGTCACTTTGGAGGTTCAAAAGAAAGCATCTCAAAGTGAAGGAAGGCAAAGCAGCCCCACGACGAAGTTGATCTTCTCCTTCCATGGGCCCCTTCCCGAGGGTGCTTGAGCAAGTCCCCAGGCCACAGCCCCCAGGGGTCCTGCTGGCTTCCCCTGACTCCAACCCACTGTTCTATCTGGCCTTTCCCCAACCTTCGAGGAGCCTGTAGCATTGCAAATAAGTCTGTTATGTGCTCTTTTCTCAGATCTTGGCTCATCCATATAGAATGGGGGTAAGGAGGCACTATCTAACACAAATCCTAGGAGTTTTTCTGCTCAGGAAGGGGTGAAATCACTGGCAGATAAAAATTACAGTGGCTTCTATCATTTCAAATGGTAGGAATTTAAAATGTGACTTCAGGGAGAAGGAAAATTGTGAAAACTCCGGCCACAGTGGCGTAACCCAACAAGGAGCAGTGATGGTTCCCCCAGCTCATCCCCTCGTTTCCTCGCAACTCAACCACCCTCCAAAGAAAGTAGGGCAGTAAACAGGTTCTGGGCCAGTTCACACAGGAAGAAACCTAGGTTCATGGATGGGGATGCCTTCCTTAAGATCCCACATGGCAAGTATGTGCCAGGGCTTAGATGAGATGGGGCACTGGTGCCCAGGAATTTGGACTTGATCCTTTCCCTGAAAAATCTCCTGAGCAAACACCACCTCCCCCAAGGTATCTTCCCACCCCTCCCCACTTATAGGGTGAGCTGACCTTTCACCATGCGGAGGAAAATAGTATTGATGTTCTCTGAGTCTCCACAACAAGGGCTAGCCTCTTGTATCTTGAGTGCCAAAGAGAGTACCTTCACTTAGTACAGAACTTCATGGTTTGCACCTCCTAGACTTGGACTCTGTTTGAAGAAAATGCAAGGAATTAATGAGAAGCCAGGAACCGTCCTCACCTGCACGCGTTTATGGCCTAGACAGCTTCAGGGTATATCTTTGCTGTGTCCCAACATTGCGTCCTCTTGCCCTTTGTGGTGTGAAGATCGTGGGTCAGACAGGGGCCTCTGAGCCTCTAGATGGCCACAGCATGCCTCTCTTTGTGGGAACAGAAGGGACCAGGTCGCTTTTAGTACTGGCCTTCTCTTTGGGTGTGGCCTGAGCAACAGCCTGCCAGATGTCAGCCTTCACATTGAACCAGCAGACCCTGTGCTGGGGACTCTAACATTTGAGCTCATTGAATTCTTCCAACATTCCTAGAAGTGTTTGTGTTTGTCACCATTTTGCAGATGAGGAAACTGAGGTTCACAGGGGGAAATCATTTGCCCACAGTTTCACCGCTAGTGAATGAGGGAACCAGGATTTAAATTGGTCTTGTTGACTTCAAAACAATATTTTTCCACTGTTGTGTCTCAGATTTTCCCATGGGGCTACCCATAACAGCAAAGACTAGAGTGGAACAGATAACCCAATGGATCTTGTAAAGCCCAAAGCAGACACTGGTAAGCTCACAATTCCTTCACAGTTTCGTGTTTTACTTTAACAATTCATGCAATATTTGCATTCCACTCTAATTTTGTCTGATTTGTTTTAATATGACTGTATAAAGATTTTTTTAAACCACATGTGCCCTGTCCCTCATGTGATTTTGATCCCCTTGATTCACTATGATGGACCCTAGGGAATTGTATCCCAGTCTGAGAGGCACAGTGCCTGGCCATGCTGCTTCCTCCTGAGGTCAATTCCAGACTCAAGCTCAAGTCCAGGGGAAGCTCACCTTCCCCTAGGCAGATCCTTTGGTGTGGGGGTACCCTGATCTTGCTGTTCATGTGTTCATGTCAACTCAAGTCTTCTCCAGTTGGATGCTGGAAGGAACCCACTGACATATACTCCAATCATGAGGACGTTCCCATCTGGTATGGTGAAGGCTGAACCCATAAAACCCTAAAGGGAAAGGAAAAGATGGACACAGCCTTACTCAGCTGAATATGGGTCTACTGTGGGTCTACCCTGCTTCCTGAATGCTGGGTCTTCTAGAAGGTGGTGCCCTTTGTCTAGGCAGAGTCACATGGTTGCTAAGATGGACAAATCTGAGGACACACTTCATATGAGGGGCTGGGGTCTGGAAGACTCCTCAATTTACTTCAACCACACATACTTACTGGGTTCCCACAACATGCAGGGCCCTGGAGGGGGTGCTACCAGGAAGCACAGGTTACTATGATACAGTGATCCCTTGGTGAGGCATGGGGTTGTGGTGGAAAGAGCTCAGCAGAAAGAGCTCAGTTCTAATCCAAGCCCAGGCATTTCTTGGCTATAGAACATTGGGCCAACTAATTAGTGGAAAAAGATGTGAAAAAAGGAGGCTTGGCCAGATAGGGATAGATTTGGAGAGCTTTGGGCAGGAAAATAGGAATGCAAAGCCAAGAAGTTGAGACCCAACAGGAATACTCAGAACCAAAGATGCATATGGACTACTGGGCAAAGTGGTCACTTCTATGACATAGCAGGACAGGGGACGGGGAAGGACCGGCCAGAACCACTTACTGCTTTGGAACAAGTTGCAGTGTATTGGAGAAAAGATGATAATTTTCCCTCTTGCCCATCGTGTTTGTTCATCATCCATTCTCCATTGCTAAACTAGCTCCTGCTGTGCGTCCTCACCAGGAACCACATTTCCTCAGCTCTGGTATGAATCCCTGTAGCGTGCATAGAGGTATCAGTCTAGCAAGGCTGCTACATACAGCAGAAGTGAGGCCCAGGGAGGAGCAGCCAGGCACTCATCCCATCGTCTCTGTAGGAGTGACTACCCAACCCAGACCCAGAGACATTGAAGGAAATTATAATGCCCCTGCATCTCACTGCTTTAAAACAGAATGAAGAAAGCCATCTTCTCTTAGCCTGGACACTGGCCACTCCTGGGCTGGACAGACTGGCCATCAGCACCAAGCTGAGTCAGGAGGAATGCCACGGAAAGCATGGGTGAGCCCAAGGGTAAGATGAGCAGGATGCTAATCCTAGATCATAAGGCCAATAGACTGTGCTAGGCCAAGATCCTTGGGGACAAATAGTCAATCCAAGCTGCAGCGTGGGTCAGAAGATGAGTCACATGGATGGCCATTTCATCTCAAAGCCCTGACTTGCCTTCCCCATCATCTGGCTAGTTTGAACTCCTTCTCAGCCAATGATGCCAGCTCCAAATCACAGCAAAATAAAACAGGGAAATAGGCAAAGTGAATCCAACT